TGCCAGCTGCTCTAAGCTACATCAATCACCAGCTGAGAGCTATATCAGCTTGGGGAAATAGATGGCAAGTAACATTTGCACCTGAGAAAACGCAAATGATGAACGTCTCTAGGCACCATGATGGTAATGCTGGTGCAGTAGTAAGGATGAATGGGACGATGTTGGCACCTGGAGAAGTTGATATCCTTGGGGTGAAATTTGACTCCAAACTAACCATGAAGAACCATGTTGTAAATCTTGCAAACAAGGCAGCCAGGAAGCTTACAGCACTTCGCTGTATCTCGCATCTGCTTGACAGTAGGGGTTGCAAGATCCTGTACGAGGCACAAGTACGCTCACACCTTGAGTATGCTCCACTTTCTTGGTTTGCCTGCCCCCCCTCTCATCTGCGACTGCTTGACAGAGTAGAGAACAGAGCAAGACGTCTCATCTCTCGCCTGGACCCATCCTGGATAGATCTGTCATTTCAGCAGAGCCTTCAACATAGGAGGGATGTAGGTGGCCTTACTGTTATGTACAAGGCCAATATTGTCAAAATACCACACTTGGATCCACTTCGAGGACAGCGTGAAACAAGCTTTTATGCCACAAGACGGGCAGAAAGCAGCAACTTCACTCTGGCTGTACCCTTCTCCAGAACATCACTCCATCTGAGATCATACATACCCAGGATGACTCGAGTATGGAACACATTCGTACAGCATAATGATGTCAACGAGATAGTCAGTTGATCAAATGAAAATGCTGGCCCACAGATGGCTCCAACTTCATCCTGTCCCGTACTTGTATGTCTCATAACAATAAAAATGCTTTCAAATGAGCTGATGTAGGTAACAGCTCTTAGCTTGCCAATAATGTTAGGAATCCTTAACCTGTAATATAGCTATCAATAAAGCTAGGGATCCTTAACCTTGTCAAACCCTGTGTAAAAAAAAAAAAAAAAAAAAAAAAGAGAATGTGAATGAATGAATTTGGTATATACACACCTATCAGACGTGATGAATGGTTTGAAAAACCGACAAGTTGAAGATTGAGACACTTATGCAGCATATGGGAATCTTTATTCAGGAAACGTTTCGCCACACAGTGGCTTCATCAGTCCAATACAAAGAGGAAGGCGTAAGGAGAGGAGGAGTATGAGGTAATCAGCCACTGTGTGGCGAAACGTTTCCTGAATAAAGATTCCCATATGCTGCATAAGTGTCTCAATCTTCAACCTATCAGACATTATCCTGATGCCAAATGACTTTGAAAAGGCAATAAATGACCTGCCCATGCACTCTGCCCCAGGCCCGGACTTGTGGAACTGTGTTCATTAAGAACTGCAAGAAGCCCCTATCAGGTGCTTTTGACATCCTATGGAGAAGGAGCATGGACACAGGGGTCATCTCACAGCTGTTAAGCACAACAGACATAGCCCCACTCCACAAGGGGAGCAGTAAAGCAATAGCAAAGAACCAGTAGCTCTAACATACCATATCATAAAAATCTTTGAAAGGGTTCTAAGAAGCAAGATTGCCACCCATTTAGATACCCATCGGTTACACAACCCAGGGCAACATGGGTTTAGAACAGGTCGCTCCTGTCTGTCCCAACTATTGGACCACTATGACAAGGTCCTGGATGCTCTAGAAGACAAACAGAATGCAGATGTAATATACATAGACTTTGCAAAAGCCTTTGACAAGTGTGACCATGGTGTAATAGTGCACAAAATGCATGATGAAAGAATAACAGCAAAAGTTGGTAGATGGATCTATAATTTCGTAACAAATAGAACACAGAGTAGTCAACAGTAAAGTCTGAAGCAACTACGGTGAAAAACTCTGTTCCACAAGGCACAGTACTCGCTCCCATCTTGTTCGGCATCCTCATATCTGACGTAGACATAAGCACACAGCACCATGTCTTCCTTTGCAGATGACACTCGACTTTGCAAGACAATGTCCTTCATTGAAGACACTGGAAGATTCCTGACGGACATCAACCAAATCTTTAAATGGGCCGCAGAAAATGATACGAAGTTCAATGATGAGAAATTCAATTACTTCGTTAAGGACAATGTGAGGAAATTAGAACTACATCAGAGTATAAAACAAATTCCAACCACACAATAGAGCGAAAAACTAATGTGAAAGACCTGGGAGTGATCATGTCAGAAGATCTCTTCTTCAAAGACCATAACATTGTATAAATTGCATCTGCTAGAAAAATGAGAGGATAAATAATGAGAACCTTCAAAACTAGGGATGCCATACCCATGATGATACTCTTCAGTTCGCTTCTTCTGTCTAGGCTGGAATATTGCTGCACACTAACGGCACCTTTCAAGGCAGGTGAAATTACTGACCTAGAAAATGTACAGAGAACCTTCATGGCACACACAACTGCAATAAAACACCTCAATTGCTGGGAATGCTTGAAGTTCCTCAACCTGTACTCCCTAGAATGCAGGCGAGAGAGATACATGATTATACATATGTGTATACTTGGAAAATCCTAGAGGGATTAGTACCAAACTTTCACATGAAAATCATACCCTATGAAAGCAAAACACTCATCAGATGATGCAACATCCCCCAATGAAAAGCAGGGGTGCCACTAGCACGATAAGAGACTAACACAATGAGTGTCAGACTTTCAACTGCCTTCCAGCATACATAAGGGGGATTACCAATAGACCCCTGGCTGTCTTCAAGCAGGCACTAGACAGACACCTTAAAGTCAGTACCTGACCCGCCAGGCTGTGGTTCGTATGTCTGGTTGTGTGCGGCCAACAGTAACAGCCTGGTTGATAAGGCCCTGATCCACCATGAAGCCTGGTCACAGACTGAGCTGCGGGGGCAGTGACAGTCTCCAGGTATACTCCAGGTATTCTGCATATCATATATAGACAGTACTGTAGTTTAATATTTTGATTTGTGATACTAAGTGTGTAATGGCAAAATTAATTTTACCTTTTCTCAACTGACATGTTGCTGTATTTATAGAGATTAAGGCTTCCACCCATTCTGGGAAAAAAAAAAGAAAGTAATTTTGTTTTCCCATCACCTTTTTGATCAAAGACAATAGGAAATTCACAAATGATTTTAGAGGCAATGGTATAAATTTGTACAGTTGCTCAAGGGCACATAAATTTGGGCATACATAAATTGTATACTGTGTAAATTTAATCTATGATAACTTAGTAATGTCAGTGTGATGTATTTAAATTGTGGTCCTCATTGTTTGTCTTATATTTGCACATATAAATGTGGTCTTACTTTCAATCCATAGTGGTATGTGTATTCTTTATATCGGACTGCACTTGGTTAACCATGTGAGTGTAGACTGCTTTTCAGGTTACTTGGGCTATCTGGACATTGTAGTGGATATGATGCAGGAAAGCCATTTTATATTTTTTATTTTAATTACATAATTTAAAAGATGTATGGTACACTAGATAATCCACTACATTGATCTTGAGATTGTGCAGCCTGTAGGGTTATCAGGAAGTGGAAAGTAAAAGGGGGGGGGGAACCTGTGGGGGATGAGTCACACTGGCTGGTGTGGTCAGTCATGCATGAGCCTCAACTCTGTGTCAGTCTCTCCTCCACCATTGCACACTGCACATGCTTTCATAATATGTGAATACACATCACTTTTTAAATTGATGCTGCTTTCTTTTGAAAAGTAATTTTAATTTTGTAAAATTTGAGTGCTATATATGCAACAAGTACTATGTTGTTAATTTCAGGGTTTCATATGTGAAACTTTTGAAGTAAAAAGTACGTGTGTATTTATCTGTATAGTATTTTGTATGCAAAGACATTTTAAAACTTTTAGCAATTTGGTTCCTTTACCATTTGCTCGCAATATAGCTTTGATGCAATTGCCTTTCATTCATCATGAAGCCTAGTGAAAGTCTTTTACATATCCAGTTTTAAGGGGGGGGGGTAATTTCTTCTATTTATTGATGCTTTTTTGTTTTTTTAATGTGAAGCTAGCTTTTAAGTCTTCATTTGTTGTAAAATCTTAACATGGTTGCATCATTGGTGTGATCTATTGTTGAGGTACATGTATTGTTGAGTCATGTTGGGAGTGGACTACACAAGTGTTGAAGTCCTAAATTTGTGTTCAAGTTGCCAGGTACTGCAGCTATGTGGCAACAGTTGGATTAAGATTTAAACATAATTTGGAGCCAATTGATAAAAATGACTGGTTACCTGTACAAGAATGCTTTCAGTACTGATACCTTTGATTTTTATAGTACATAGTTACTAAAATTATGTATGGTGTATATGGGAGGTGGTTATATTCATAACTAGCTAAGATGGAATAAGTGTTCTAAATATCTAAAATTGTTTGTATAAATTGACAAAAAAGAAAAAATCTGGTGACAGAAATTTGAATGAATCTTGGGCAATACAATATTATCTCCATGACAAATTGAGTAGCAGTAAGAATGTTGTATGTAAATAGAAAGGTCCTTGGCAATATTTTGCTCATAATTGCAAAATTTTTATTTGATTATGCTTCTAAAATTTATATATATAAAAATTTGCTTTGAAATTAAGAGCTGAGAAGAATTTTCTGTGACTTGAGCAAAGTATAATATTTCTACATGGCATACCCTACTAGAAGACTTTTGATACAGGTGATACAGTATGCTTGATAAGATATCCATATCAAGTGTTTTTATCACTTAGTTTTTTCAATTAACAGAGTTAAAATTTCCTTTATATTTTTTTGTGTATAGGCATTGAGCAGGTTACCTCGGTTGGTCATTTTGGGAGCAGTAGCAACCACCTCTGATTTATTTGTCTTTGATATGAGAGAATCATCAAAGTGAGCTACAGTAGTATGCTGCAATTTAGTTTCCTTAGTTTTTCACCTTATCACTGGAATTCTCTGACAAATAGTCATATTAAGTTTTATTAATAATTGATGTTTTATAATTTGGCATAGTAGCAAACACTAATTGAATAAGTGTTAATGTACATATTTGGTTTCATTTGCAGGAATGTATCATATCTGGCATGTTGTCAGTATCAGGCAAGAAAGTTCTGCATATGGACCGTAACAAGTATTATGGTGGTGAGAGTGCCTCCATTACACCCCTGGAGGATCTCTTTACAAAGTTCAATCTTCCACCACCAGAAGAGGCTTATGGGCGTACAAGGTAAATTTTATCATATGCCTAATTAGTTTGCAACAGCCCCACCCCTTCTTCAGAGTGCAGGCACTGTACTTACCACCTCCAAGACACAGTCTAGCTGACTGCTGTCCATTAATTCTTTCATGAAAGTTACCCTTATATTCCAGCAGCACGTTGTTACTGAAACTTCTCGCTCAATCCTGTAGGATGTCTGAGCCATTAGCACTCAAAACAACCTCTACTCCCATCTTCCAACTTTTCCTGAGGTGGGCAGACAGCACTGCCACCCCAGATTTATAGTATGCCCTCTTAATTCTTTGTTTCCATAGATACTTCAGTGCAACACATACCTTTTTTCCTTCATCAGTTCTATGGTTTACCTTGTCTTTCATGTACCCATCTGCCGACATGTCCACTCCTAAATATTTGAACAGGTTTACTTCTTCCATACTCCCTTTCCCCAATTTGACATCCAACTTTTTCTTACCTAACTCATTTGATAGGTATTTATTTATGTATTTATTTAAATACAGTGGACCCCCGCATAACGATGGCATCACATAGCGATTTTTCCGCATAACGATTACTTTTACCGATTAAAAACCCGCTTACCGATTTTCGTCCGAGACGCGTCCAATGTGCCCTCAGCCAGCCTCGCATGTGCCGCCCCGTCCCATTGTTTACCAGCCAGCCTCCGCGGTAACATCCAAGCATACACTCGGAATATTTCGTATTATTACAGTATTTTCGGTGCTGTTTCTGGAAAATAAGTGACCATGGGCCCCAAGAAAGCTTCTAGTGCCAACCCTACACCTCAAAGGGTAAGAATTACTATAGAGATGAAGAAAGAGATAATTGATAAGTATGAAAGTGGAGTGCGTATAGCCGACCTAGTCAAGCTGTACAAGAAACCCCAATCAACCATCGCTACTATTGTGGGCACCAGAAAGACAATCAAGGAAGCTGTTCTTGCCAAAGGTTCAACTGTGTTTTCGAAACAAAGATCGCAAGTGATGGAAGATGTTGAGAGACTCTTATTGGTGTGGATAAATGAAAAACAGATAGCAGGAGATAGCATCTCTCAAGCGATCATATGTGAAAAGGCTAGGAAGTTGCATGAGGATTTAATTAAAAAAATGCCTGCAACTAGTGATGATGTGAGTGAATTTAAGGCCAGCAAAGGTTGGTTTGAGAGATTTAAGAAGCGTAGTGGCATCCATAGTGTGATAAGGCATGGTGAGGCTGCCAGTTCGGACCACAAAGCGGCTGAAAAATATGTGCAGGAATTCAAGGAGTACATAGAAACTGAAGGACTGAAACCTGAACAAGTGTTTAATTGTGATGAAACAGGCCTGTTCTGGAAGAAAATGCCAAGCAGGACCTACATTACTCAGGAGGAAAAGGCACTCCCAGGACATAAGCCTATGAAAGACAGGCTTACTTTGTTGATGTGTGCCAATGCTACTGGTGATTGCAAAGTGAAGCCTTTATTAGTGTATCACTCTGAAACTCCCAGAGCGTTCAGGCAAAAGAATGTCCTCAAGGATAATTTGTGTGTGCTGTGGAGGGCAAACAGTAAGGCATGGGTCACTAGGGAATTTTTCTATAACTGGTTACACCATGCATTTGCCCCCAATGTGAAAAATTACCTAACTGAAAAGAAATTAGAACTTAAGTGCCTCCTGGTGTTAGACAATGCCCCTGGTCATCCTACAGACGTGGCAGAGCGACTTTATGGGGACATGAGCTTCATTAAGGTGAAGTTTTTGCCTCCTAATACCACTCCTCTCCTGCAGCCCATGGACCAGCAGGTTATTTCCAACTTCAAGAAACTGTACACAAAAGCTCTGTTTGAAAGGTGCTTTGTAATGACCTCAGAAACTCAACTGACTCTAAGAGAGTTTTGGAGAGATCACTTTAATATCCTCAATTGTGTAAACCTTATAGGTAAGGCTTGGGAGGAAGTGACTAAGAGGACCTTGAACTCTGCTTGGAAGAAACTGTGGCCAGAATGTGTAGACAAAAGGGATTTTGAAGGGTTTGAGGCTAACCCTGAGAATCCTGTGCCAGTTGAGGAATCCATTGTGGCATTGGGAAAGTCCTTGGGGTTGGAGGTTAGTGGGGAGGATGTGGAAGAGTTGGTGGAGGAGGACAATGAAGAACTAACCACTGATGAGCTGATAGATCAACTTCAAGAGCAAGAGGCCAGACCTGAGGAAACTGGTTCAGAGGAGGGGAGAGAGAAATTGAAGAAGTTGCCTACTACAAAGATAAAGGAAATCTGTGCTAAGTGGCTTGAAGTGCAAACCTTCATGGATGAAAATCACCCTCACACAGCTATTGCAAGCCGTGCTGGTGATTATTACACTGACAATGTTGTGAAACACTTTAGGCAAGTCATAAAGGAACGAGAGGTACAGGCCACTATGGACAGATATCTTGTGCGAAAGAAGTCCAGTGACTCTGAAGCTGGCCCTAGTGGCATTAAAAGAAGAAGGGAAGTAACCCCAGAAAAGGACTTACTACCTCAAGTCCTAATGGAAGGGGATTCCCCTTCTAAACACTAACACACTCTCTCCCCTCCTCCCATCCCATCAGTCATCACCAGATCTTCAATAAAAGTAAGTGTCATTTAATTGTGCATGCCTTTTTCAGTTTGTGTGTATTAAAATTAACATTTCATGTGGTAAAAAAAAATTTTTTTCATACTTTTGGGCGTCTTGCACGGATTAATTTTATTTCCATTATTTCTTATGGGGAAAATTCATTCGCATAACGATTATTTCGCATAACGATGAGCCCTCTTGCACGGATTAAAATCGTTAACCGGGGGTCCACTGTACTGTATAGATTGACTTAATTTTAGTATTGGCCAGTGCCTTCTTAAACAGCTATATATTTTGTAAAGCATTAAATTATTAAGTTAACCTAATACATTTGAGTATTTTAATTCTTTTCATGCATTATTAGAATGTTATACTTGGTATTTTTTGTATTTAAAAAGCTTTCTCCTTTCAGGGACTGGAATGTGGACCTCATTCCCAAATTTCTGATGGCAAATGGTCAGTTAGTAAAGCTTCTCATCCACACTGGTGTCACTCGTTACCTGGAGTTTAAGTCAATCGAGGGTAGTTATGTGTACAAGGGTAACAAAATATCCAAAGTTCCTGCTGATGAGAAGGAAGCCTTAACGTCAGGTGAGGACATGTCTAATTCCAATACCAAACAAAATGCATTGGCAATAAATATTACTAGTGCATAGGTATTTTATGAAGCTCGCAAGTTTCTGAATACTCTCATGGGAGTCATGATGAATAGGGCCTCTAAACTCTGGCTAATGTGTCATCCCAAACATTGCTGGCAAGGTTTTAATTTTCTGTCCGTTAGGTCAATTCTGTATTGCAAGTAATATTTGTGGCTACTCATAAAATACAGTGGACCCCCGCATAACGATTACCTCCAAATGCGACCAATTATGTAAGTGTATTTATGTAAGTGCGTTTGTACGTGTATGTTTGGGGGTCTGAAATGAATAATCTACTTCACAATATTCCTTATGGGAATAAATTCGGTCAGTACTGGCACCTGAACATACTTATGGAGTAAAAAAATGTCGTTAACCGGGGGTCCACTGTAATAGCATGAATGGACAGTTAATATATTTCATTGAAAATAATTTGAAGACGGTGCCAACCTATTGCATCAGTTACATGTGAGAAACATTGCCAGTAACCATGCACTGGGCTTGTTGCTATCTGTGCCTAAATTAATACCGGCAGATTGAAGGTGAACAAAACATTATATTTTGCTGGAAATAATTGTAGGTGCCCTGTTATTGCAGATGCTCAATATATAGTTCTAAAAAAGAAAAAATATGAACACATTTCCATTGAGATTATTTTGTTATTTCCCTCTGTGGATACACTGTGATTTTGAAGGACTGCAATAAAATTTATGAATTTGGAGACAGCTCGCCAAAATTATCAAGAAATGTCCAAGTATTTTATCCACAGTGGTATATGAGCCATTCTAGAAAAAATGCCCGATTGTATAATTCAAATAACTTGAAACCACATAAATTTGTCTTAAATTCAACTATTCCCTATTAACCCTTAAACGGTCCAAACGTATATATACATTTTTTCAACATTTGAAAGTATGTAAAAAAATGTACATAATCTTTATTTTTTTACATTTGAAAATGTGTAAAAAATACTTTTATCTACATTTTGTTTTTTTTGTTATATTTGAAAATATGTACAAAAAATAGATCTACTTTTGGAGCACTACGGATTTGAACATGGATCTATTTGGACCGTTTAAGGGTTAAACATTGTACATTATAAATAACTCATAGCCACATATATGCTACATTGTCATGTTTTTGTGACTGAATTGGTCTAAGTGAACAACTCATTTTGATAGTTACCACATCATGTTGTAAATGCAATGGTTCATTACCACTCTGTATTCCATCAAAATTTGGGGCCCAGTCCCTGAACTCCTTATGTATCTCTGTTTTTTAGCATATGAGAGGTTTACAAAATAGAAGTGATGCAAGGAGGGAGGGGTATATGGAGAGAAAAAGAGGTTAAGAGAGTGGTGAATTCATGTAAATAGACAGCAAATGAGAGAGTGGGTGAGATGTTAACAAATTTTGTTGAAAATAAGAAAAAGTTTTGGAGTGAGATTAGTAAGTTGAAGCCTAGAGAACAAATAGATTTGATTGTTAACAATAGAAGAGGAGAGTTATTAAATGGAGAGTTAGTTATCAGTGGAGGGAAGGCGGGGTAGAGGTTGGCCTAGGAAAGGTTGGGAGGGAGGGAGTAAAGGAAATTTTGTGTGCTAGGGGCTTGGACTTACAGCAAGCATGTGTGAGCATGTTAGGAGCGAATGGAGACGAATGGTTTTTTTTTTTGCACTTGACGTGCTGTTGGAGTGTGAGCAAGGTAATGTTTAAGAAGGGATTCAGGGAAACCAGTAGGCCAGACTTCAGTCCTGGAGATGGGAAGTACAGTGCCTGCACTCTGAAGGAGGGGTGTTACCGTTTTATAACTGTAGTGTAGGCATGCCTCTGGCAAGACAATGATTGGAGCGAATGATGGTGAAAGCTTTTCTTTTTTGGGCCACCCTACCTCGGTGGGAGACGGCCAATGTATTAACCCTTTCAGGGTCCAGAGGCCAAATTTCAAAGTGCGCACCAGGGTCCAAGAATTAAAAAAAAAAAAAATTTTTTATTTTTTTTCCTATGAAATGGTAAAGAATCTTTTCTGAAGGTAATAAAACAAAAAGTACGAAATTTGATGGAAAATTGACGAAATTATGCTCTCGCGAATTTGGATGTGTCAGCGATATTTACGAATCGGCGATGTTGCTGACTTTGCCTCCCATTTTAGGCCAATTACATTATTCCAGTCTACCAAATTCTTAGCTATTTCACTAGTATTACTTCTATTCTATCAATTGAGCACAAGAAATCGCCAAGTCAACTGTTTCAACTACAAAATAGTGATCGGAAAATGGTAATTTGGCCAATTTAACTCAAAGTTCAAAATATTCCAATTTCAAAATAGGGTCCAGAATAAACAATGTAGGTATTCCTGGCACTAAACTAACATTTCCTCTGTTCATTAGTTACCTTTTCAGGCTTTACAAATGAATTCCATTTTGATTTTTTATTCACATAATGAATTTTTATTCAAACCAAAAAAATAGAAGATTTACTGTTATGCACTATTGTAATTGTATAAATATCATCACCACATTTGTGAATGTATATTAGACCCACCAGCTGGTGTGTATTAGATGTGTGAGGTTGTTTGTTTACTCTTGAACATTGGCAAAAATTTGACATTTCTGCTACTTTGAGCTCAATTTAAAGTCATTTCCAGTGCTAACACCAATCAAAATCATCTCTATTTCTGTAATATGTCTTCCATTCTATCAAATGAGACAAAGAAATCGCAAATACAGTGGACCCCCGGTTTACGATATTATTTCATTCCAGAAGTATGTTCAGGTGCCAGTACTGACCGAATTTGTTCCCATAAGGAATATTGTGAATTAGATTAGTCCATTTTAGACCCCAAACATACACATACAAACGCACTTACATAATTTGTCGCATTGGGAGCTGATCGTAAACCGGGGGTCCACTGTACAATTATAAAAAACATGCGAAAAACACTGAAAAGTCGCTGTTTTAATCGAAAATCACGGTCTCGGTTTTTTCCTCTCATTATACACTGTGTGCTGCAGGACTTGTTTTATGTGGTGCACACATACCGCATAGATGTATTCTCTCATATCTAGGCCTAAATTTACCACTCACAGCTTATCAGTGAGCTGAGCTCATGGCGTAGATCTACGGTTTGGACCCTGAACGTAAAGCCGTAGATCTACGGCACGGACCCTGAAAGGATTAATAATAATAAAAAAAATTTTTTTTTTACTACTGCCCATATGATGAGTATGGAGTGTATATTTATTTTATTTTATTATCACACTGGTCGATTCCCACCAGGGCAGGGTGGCCCGAAAAAGAAAAACTTTCACCATCATTCACTCCATCACTGTCTTGCCAGAAGGGTGCTTTACACTACAGTTTTTAAACTGCAACATTAACACCCCTCCTTCAGAGTGCAGGCACTGTACTTCCCATCTCCAGGACTCAAGTCCGGCCTGCCGGTTTCCCTGAACCCCTTCATAAATGTTACTTTGCTCACACTCCAACAGCACGTCAAGTATTAAAAACCATTTGTCTCCATTCACTCCTATCAAACACGCTCACGCATGCCTGCCGGAAGTCCAAGCCCCTCGCACACAAAACCTCCTTTACCCCCTCTCTCCAACCTTTCCTAGGCCGACCCCTACCCCGCCTTCCTTCTACTACAGACTGATACACTCTTGAAGTCATTCTGTTTCGCTCCATTCTCTCTACATGTCCGAACCACCTCAACGACCCTTCCTCAGCCCTCCGGACAACAGTTTTGGTAATCCCGCACCTCCTCCTAACTTCCAAACTACGAATTCTCTGCATTATATTCACACCACACATTGCCCTCAGACATGACATCTCCACTGCCTCCAGCCTTCTCCTCACTGCAACATTCCTCACCCATGCCTCACACCCATATAAGAGCGTTGGTAAAACTATACTCTCATACATTCCCCTCTTTGCCTCCAAGGAAAAAGTTCTTTGTCTCCACAGACTCCTAAGTGCACCACTCACTCTTTTCCCCTCATCAATTCTATGATTCACCTCATCTTTCATAGACCCATCCGCTGACACATCCACTCCCAAATATCTGAATACATTCACCTCCTCCATACTCTCTCCCTCCAATCTGATATTCAATCTTTCATCACCTAATCTTTTTGTTATCCTCATAACCTTACTCTTTCTTGTATTCACCTTTAATTTTCTTCTTTTGCACACCCTACCAAATTCATCGACCTTTGTGTTGTAGGGGAACAGAATTCTCTAGGCAAAAAACTGTTGGCTGGTGCAACTTGTAAGGCATGAAGAAATTAGGGTGTGGTATGAAAGGAGAGGTGGTTGAGATTACTTGGTCATTTAGAAAGGATTAAGCAAGATTAATAGGGTATACTAGTAAATCAGGTGAATGAGTTTTTAGGCATCCGAGTGCATGTTACATCAAGATTAAATGAGTGGCTTTTGAAATGTGGCATGCTGTTGAAACGAGAGCAAGATAGCATTTATGAAGGGATTTGGTAAAATCAATTAGCCAGATTTAAGTTTAAGAGGTAGTAAGTAGTGTTTGCTCTTTGAAGTATGGTCAGGAGTAGTTCATTTTGTATGGTTATTTGGGTCTATGAAAGAAGAGGTGAACCATAGAATTGATGAGGGGGGAAAAGGGTGAGTAGTGCACTGAGGAGTCTGTGGAGACATTGTTTTCCATGGAAGCAAATGGGGGAATTTATGGGAGTATACTGATACCAACACTATTATATGGGTGGTGAATGTTGCAACAAGAAGGCTGTTAGCAGTGGAGATGTGTCTGAGGGCAGTGTGTAGTGTGACTTATGCAGAGAATTCATTTGGAGATTAAGAGGAGGTGCAGGGTTACTAAAAGTATTATAGAGAGAGTTGGGGGTGGGGAGTTGTGGTGGTTCGGACATCTAGAGAAGAAAGGTTTTATGCTTGAGGGGCTTAGACTTGCAGCAGGTGTGCATG